AAAAGATTGACACAATAATAGCTGCTGAAAAAGGAAAGACATGTATACATATATATGTCTACTTTAGGATAAATAGTATCAGATAACATGATAACGTTTAAAACATTGCAAAAGATCTGCCGACCTAGTTGGGATAGCAACTTAAAGTTTCAACCTTGAAATTCTACTTTAAGACCAGATAGTTTTTAATATTTTTACATTCTGGATATAGACATAAATAACTAGTGTAGAGTTTAGTCTAGCTTATTTGTAGTACTATATAATTTTTACAATCTGGCATAGGTTTAATAGTGCTATCTTTGTTTTCTTTTCTTTTGTTTTCTTTTTTCTTTTTGTTATTGTTTTGTTTGGTTTTATTTGTTTAAATAGATCAGAATTTGATATTAAGGTATTTTCCCATTTTTCTTTTGTCTTTTGTATTTGTATCTGTATTTCGTTTTATAAAAAGAAAAGTTAATTCTGATATGATATATGGCACTCACCTATAATCAAAGAATAATCTCAGTAAGTTAGGGATCCAGATGGAGGCTTGAAGTTTACAGAGGTTGATCATATCTGGCGAAAGTATGGGTAAGCTGCTTTGTGAAGAGGTTAGTTTAGTTTAATCTAAAAAAAAGTAGCAAGATAGCCAAATTATAAAAAAATAAATACTAATTTTGAAGACTAAAAAAAAAAAATAAATAAATATCAAAAGTATATATATAGCTAATATATACTCTTTAATATAAGGAGATTCTTTTGAAGCTTTAGTTACTTACCTCTCACTTAACAAATAACTTGAATAAAAACCTAAGCTCAAAGAGGCTAGAAAAAATAAATAAATAAAAAAATAAAAAATTTTATTGTTTAATTATATTATTTAAAGATCAATATTGTTATATAATATAGCTAATCAAAATGCTAAAAAAGTTAGATAACTCAATATAAATGATATGATTAGAGTTAGGATGAAAAGCACGACAAAATTTTTAGACATGCTTTCTGGACATGCCTCTAGTTTTTCAAATTTAAATGCATGCTTTATAAACATGCTTTCAAAATTTTCTGTAAAATGATTTTTTTATTATATAAATGTTTAAAAAAAAGGCATACTCCTAGGTATACCTAAGAGTATATACAAGGAGGCATGCCCATGGATCTTGTGTTCTTCACTTTAATTAGAGTAGATTAGTAGGTCTACTAAAATTTAGCAAATTGCTTGAATTTAGATCAGATCAAAGTAGCATTAAGCAATAATACTAGCAAACTATATTATAGCAAAATTATTATTTAAACAGCTTTACTTAGTGCATAGGCTGCTACTTTATTAGTAAACTTTTAGATAATTTTAGAAAAATTTATTAATTCTAGCCTATTTTGACTCAAATTTGTGCTGATTTGCTGAATTTAACAATTTACTTCTATAATTATACAATGCAATAGAGTAAATTATATATAAATTTCTTCATATAACATGAACTCTCTAAAATGAACTTAAAGTTTGGAGATTACTACTGATATAGCAAAATATATAACTTATCTTCTTATTGGCATAGCAATAATTGACATAAGCACCCCAAATTTTTTGACATGAATTTTAAATTGTTTATAACTTTAAACGAAGATATCTTAATAAACAGCAACCAAACCCAATAAACTTTTTTTTATAAAGCTGTAAAATCATAACAAAAAAATTTTTATTGAATTTGGTGACTAGTTGTTGAATTATCTATATTCAAATTCTTAAAAATTTAAACTGTCTATTAAAATATATTAATATTGAATGAATATAACTTGGAAACTACCTATTCAATTTTGGTTTTATTTCAATTCTATAGTATCATAAAATTAAATAAAATTTTTATTGAATTTGGTTGGTTAGTTGCTGAGATATTTTCACTCAAAGTTTTATAAAAAAAATTTTTCACAGCTATTATTTTAAGGAGCAATATATTTGTAACCATGGCTACTGTAACCGCATCCCATAATAGCCAATCAAATTTAAAGATTAGATATAACATAACACAATCAAAAAAATTTAAAACAACATTTATTTCGTCAAAAATTGTCAAAAAATAGTTATAACTCAAAATTGAATATATGAAACTACTCTTTGAGATCTAACAAAAAAATTCCTTGCTAAAGTTTACTATAAAACACATCTTTTCAACTGCATACTATCTTTACCTTATCCTAACCCTAATTAACAAAAAAAAGAGTTATTTTAGTTATGGCTATGGTAGCTTATGGCTACAAATATATTAATCCTTATTTTAATAGATGTTTTAAATTTTTGTAAAACTTTGAATAAAGATAACTCAGCAACCACACAACCAAATTCAATAGTTTTTTTATTTTTTATTTTAAATACTATAGAATTGAAATAAAAAAATTCTTTGGTTGGTTGCCGAGTTGTCTTTATCTAAAGCTTTATAATTTTTTTTACTGATTTTAATAGATATTTTGAATTTTTACAAAAATACCTCAGCAATCATCTAATAAAATTTGATTAATTTTTTTTGTTATGATTCTACAACTCTGTAGAATTAAAATAAAAAATCTCTTGGGCTTTCTCTTTCCCCTTCTATAACTAATAGTAGCTAGTCTTAAATTAATTTATAAATAGAAAATTAAGAGGTGATTTGCTACATCTAGGTAATTATACAAGATATAATAGATAGTTAAAATTTAATATCATCTTGGACAATTCTGTAACTAATCTTATCATGTATACAGCAAATTCAAAATAAAAATAAAAAATAAAAAAAAATATAAAAAAAATATAAAAAATAAAAAATCTCATTAAATTTGGTTAGCTATTTGCCAAAATATATTTACTTAGTTATAAATAATTTTAAAATATATGTTAAAAATTTTAGGTGCTTATGTTAATCATTGCTGTGTCAATAAGAAGATAAGTTACGTGTTTTGCTGTGTTAATAGTACAAAAATTTTATTTTTGATAGATCTGTGATTACTTTTTTTAATAGGTACAAATCATACCCTAAATTTAGATAGTGTTCTTGATGCATCCTATAGAATTTAAAATTTTTCAAGATTTTGAGTAAAAATATCTAAATAGTCACCTAACCTAATTTAATAAAATTTTTTATTTTGATTCAACTATTCTGTAGAATCAAAATAAAAAAAAACCATCAAATTTGGCTAGGTGATCACTAAGGTAATTTCACTCAAAGTTTTATACAAATTTTGCTACAACTATCATTTTGATGGATGTTTTAATGTTTTCAAAACTTTGAGCAATGATATCTCAACAACCACCCAGCCAAATTCAATGAATTTTTTTATTTTGATTTGACTATTCTGTTGCTGAGATAATTTTGCTCAAAGTTTTATACAAATTTTATCACGACCATCATTTTAATAGACATTTTAATGTTTTCAAAAACTTTAAACAATGATATCTCAACAACCACCCAGCCAAATTCGATGAATTTTTTTTATTTCGATTCTACAGAATTGTAGAACCAAAATAAAAAAAAAATCATCAAATTTAGCTAGGTGTTTACTGAGATATCATCGCTCAAAGTTTTGAAAACATTAAAACATCCATCAAAATGATGGTTGTAACAAAATTTGTATAAAACTTTGAGCGAAATTAACTCAGCAACCACCTAACCAAATTTGGTGAATTTTTTTTTTATTTTAGTTCTACAGTTCTGTAGAATCAAAATAAAAAAAAATTCATCGAATTTGGCTGGGTGGTTGTTGAGATATCATCGCTCAAAGTTTTGAAAACATTAAAACATCTATCAAAATGATGGTTGTGGCAAAATTTGTATAAAACTTTGAGTGAAATTATCTCAGCAACCACCTAGCCAAATTCGATGAATTTTTTTTATTTTGATTCTACAGAACTGTAGAACCAAAATAAAAAAAATTCATCGAATTTGACTAGGTGGTTGCTGAGATAATTTCGTACAAAGTTTTATACAAATTTTGCCACAACCATCATTTTGATAGACGTTTTAATGTTTTCAAAACTTTGAGCGATGATATCTCAACACCCCACCTAGCCAAATTTAATAAATTTGTTTTTATTTTGATTCTACAGTTCTGTAGAATCAAAATAAAAAAAAAATTCATCGAATTTGATTAGGTAGTTACTAAGATATCTTCACTCAAAGTTTTATAAAAATTTAATCGCGGTTATTTTGATAGACGTTTTAATGCTTTCAAAACTTTGACCGAAGATATCTCAGTAACCACCTAGCCAAATTTGATGAATTTTTTTTATTTTGATTCTACAGAATAGTCGAATCAAATAAAAAAAATTTATTGAATTAGGTTGGGCGACTATCTAGATATCTTTACTCAAATTCTTGAAAAATTTTAAATTCTATGGAATATGATGCATCAAGAACACTACCTAAATTTAGGATATGATCTGCGCCTATCAAAAAAGTAACCGCAGATCTATCAAAAATGAAACTTTTGCACATTTGATATTTTTAGAATTCTGCGGTGATCAAAAGTGATTTCTGTGGTTGGCTGTGATTTAGAGAAATTCTGTCTGTGAAATCACAGGAAATCATCTTCCTTGGTCAGATGTCTGAAATAAGTATACAAAACCGATATTTAGGGGGTATTTTTTTTTTACTTTAATTATTTTTAATACAAAACAAAAATCAATATAATTTGAAAACTAATCCGAAAAACAATCTAAAACCTCAACCCGGGGCAACGCTCCGGATTAAAAGCTTGTATTATGGTATTTGTTATTGTAATTTATGACTTCAATATAATCTCGTGGCAAAATTATATTTAATGTGATAATAATAGCAACGTGTGTATATGATCCAATTTACATTTTTACATATATGCAATCGATTCTTGATAAAATATCAATAAGCATAAGTTGTAACAAATTAATCTTTACTATATAATTGTTCTGCTTCTTCATCAGTATACCCCAGAAGATATAAGATATTTTTAAGGCTTTTCTGATTAATCCGTGCACGTGCCTAAAAGAAGCAAATGTTAACATCACATAATATATATTATAAAAGTTCATTAAATTTATATACTTTTTCTTGTACACGCGGTTTGGCATTAAACGCTATCCCTAATCCAGCCTTTGCCAGCATGAATAAATCATTTGCACCATCACCCACAGCGACAACTTGTTCAAGTTTTATATTTTCAGCTTGAGCAATCACCTCTAAAAGCTCAGCTTTGCGTTCTCCATCAACAATTGGACCATCAAGTTCGCCCGTGAACGTTAAGCCATCCGACGAGACTTTTAACTGTTTTATTAAGCAAGATTAGTTATTTTATCGAGAAGAAGTTAACTTTAAAATATCTTACTTGATTTGCAAAAGCATAATCTAGCCCAAGCTCGTTTTTCACATACATGGCAAGAGGGATGAATCCACCTAGAAAAAATTAAGACGAATCAAGATTAATAAACATACGAAGTGAAATTTTAATTTGAAACAGTATTAAATTCGTGTAACTTACCAGAAATTACTGCCAATTTAAAACCGATCTTTTTTAGTGCTTTACATAGAAGATGTGCCCCTTCGGTAAAAATAAGATTCTTCTTGATAGCTTGTAAAACATCAGTTGATGTTCCTTTCAATAATGAAACACGACGTCGTAAAGACTCCTTGAAGTCGATTTCTCCGTTCATTGCTGCTTCTGTGATTGTCTTATAAATAACGATATCAAAATTTTAGAAATTCAACATTTTAAAAGAAACTCGTAAAATACGCGTCTACATACAGCAACTTTATTGACAACACCAGCCATTTTAGCGATTTCGTCAATTACTTCTTGTTGTATTAATGTAGAATCCATATCAAAAACAACTAATCTTTTATGTTTTCGAAACACATTAAACGGTTGGAGAGCAACATCAGTTCCATGACTTATGCTCAACTGAAACAATTCTTGTCTCAAACGATCAAAATCCGTTTCTAATGGTACTGAAAGTTTATAATCAGCACATGATAATTTCCCTTCACTTAATCTTTGCATCTTTTCTACAGAAATTTTTTCCCGAAGCAATAATTTTGTCCACTCATCCAGAAATTGCAGGGTAAGACCATTCTGGTTTAATACAGTAGCAGTATACTTAGTGCGATTTTTATATGGAGCGTCTTCAAGGGATTTTGGTAAAATATCTTGTTGCTCATGAATATTAAAAGATAAAATCCCATCCCATTTTTGAGCAGCTTCAGCAAGATCACGAAACAAATCAGAATTATCAGATTTTAATGTAATCAAAACCCCAAAAGTAACATTATGATAAAGTCGAGATAACATGAAGTCTTCAATTTCACAAGAATTTTTCGCCATACAATCTAATACACATCCAATAATGTCAGTGCCATGAGGACCGGTGAGAGAGACTAAAATTTTTTGGTTTGGTAATAAATTTGATGGTAACCAAATATTTTGTGAAGGCACCATTTTGGATTGCAGATTTGTTGACATATTTGCACCTGGATATCGTTACTATTAAATGAGAGAGCCGTTATATACAAAGCAACAAGTAGTAACGAGATTCTTAACGAGAATCTTTAATAATGAGTCTCTAAAAAGCAGCATAGTAAAGGTTATACAGTATCGGGATAATTCTGTACTACTAGTAAATATAGACAAAATGCATAAAGAAACCGAATTCTAGAATAATCCACGTGTAGGTTTTCGAAATTCGATTGGCTTATGTGAGTGGGCATGGCTAAAATATCTTGCGTGCCATATTGGGGTCCTGCATATACTAATTACAGTCTTCCCTCTTTATAATCACACTTTTGGGCACACCAAAAATGGTGATTATATAGAGGTGTGATTATAAATATTAAACCAATAAATCATGTGATACATACCGTATTTTCGCGAAATAACGCGCAGGGGCGTTATTTTGAATTTTGGCCCGAATTAAGCTTAATTCTGGCCAAATTTCGAAATTACACCTCTGCGCGTTATTTCGCGAAAATACGGTAATCTTAATTATATTAAATTTAGATTTTCTAAGAACTAGCTTCGTTTTTAATCTACCTGACCTGCCTAAACTCTATTATTGGTTATAATCTAGTTTAGACCCTTTTAAAATTTTAACATAAAATATTTATTTAAATTAATACACATATTTTCGCGAAATAATGCGCAGGGTGTAATTTCGAATTTCGACCTAAATCAATCTTAATTCAGGCCGAGACTCTAAATAATGCGCATGCCTGTTATTTTGTGAAAATACAGTAATTCAAACTATATAACTATTTATTGCAAAACGATATATTTTTGATCAAATTTGTGAACTGCAGCTTACCTATACAATCATCGTATTGTTACCCAATTGCATAAATGTAAAATGCGCTTCTTGGTCAAAAATTGGCCGTATCTATGCTCACTAAAAAATTGTGCATAATGTTAGAGGCAAAATGAACCGTGACCAAAATGAATGTGATCAACGGTGCCGTGATCGATGATCGTACCCCGAAAACCAGTTTGTATGCATGCCCTACGATCGAACGATACTGACAAGGCTTGTACGCCAAATCGGGCATAGATCGAATGCATGACAATGAGGTTTCAGAGTGGCGATATGATGAACAATCGGGTAGTGGAAATTGGTGGGAAAAACTAAATGAAAAAAAAAAAAAAGAAAGAAACTTATTATTAGTTAGTGTGTATTGAGAATATATAAATGCGCGTATAAAATGTAAAGTTATACTTATCTCAGGGAGATCGTAGAATATTTGGTAGTGCCCGAGAAGGGCTAAAGATTATAATAAAGAAACTATTGGTTGTTATATAAAATAAAATTGTTAGTTGTAGTGTTAGTGTTAGTTTTAGTGACAAACAGTAAAGTAATTTTAGAAGATCCTCGCCAAATCGTATCCACGCCTCACTTCAAGCCTTTAATCGACGTAACGCGAGACTTCTGGCCCTCTAGCGACAGACTCGCCGTATTCGCACAGCTTCAATAATCACTCGATCAGACAATTAGGTGATTGTATAGATGAGCTGCGATCTACAAACTTGATTAAAAATACATCATCTGGCTAATAGGTTTTTGTTCCTCTTGTAGCCTAATTTTTTTTAATAATTATCTTATTTCCAAAACAAACAGTTATTACGTTGTTAGGGGCTAAATCGATCCGGAATCTCAAAATATGGCCTCACGGATCTCAACTAACGCTAACTAATCCAAATCAACACTCTAATACCACTAAGCTCTATCGAACCCTAATGGTGGTTGGCACGAAAGAAGGCGTGGAAAGACTTGGTCCGAGTTATTAGGGCCAAATAGAGCTCTAGACTACGTCACGAGGCTCTATCTAGGAGTCACAGGATATAAGGTAGTTTATCGGGGAATAGGAGAACGAATGTTTATGAATTATATGCGCAAAGCGTTAACTTCTAATAACTAGCGATTGTTTTATTCAAGGTAAGAAATCGGTTGCTTATATACTTTTTACAGCCTTAGCAACATACAGGTTTTGAAAGTGAACGAAATGACATTACTGTCAGTTATGACAAAACTGCCATAAGTGACCGAACTGTCACATCTGTCAGAAATGACCGATCTGACCGAAGTGTCCGAACTGACTGAAGTGTCAGTAATGGCAGAAATGCCCGAAAGGGCCTTAGTGCAATAAGCACTTTTACAAATTGGGTAAGTTCTATCTATAAGGCCTGGTCAAAATACACTAACTAATTCAAAATATTTTAAAAATTTTGTATTGAGCTACAATTTACCCTTCCACAACGTACGCTATACTTATCTGCCCTATCGATATTAAGGTTGTCATTCTACTTAATGTTAAGAATAATAGTCACTCTTATCGGTTCTTGCCCAAATCTGGTTTATCTTAACCTACCCGAATTGCAATTTGGTTATTAGCATACTCCTGCTTAGCCATTTTTTCAATCTGTTAACTTATATAACTTGAATAAAATTGCAATAAACTAGAATCAGGAATAAAAATTATGAACAAAGGATCAAAATAAATATACTCATGGTTTTACTATAGGATAATTTTATATGTAAGCGATGCTAGACAAAAATTTTTATACATTATATATTCAACGAATTTTATCTAATCTGATGGCATTATTTATGTTGCTGATATTTATGTATCATTCTGTTCCTGATACAATAAAAATAACAATATGCAAATTTTATTTATAATATATAAAATATAGTATTAAATTTTCTGAAAATAATCAGTAATAGAACTTTGTTTTTGTGAATCTAACAACATTCTATTCGTAATTTTATCATATTTTTTAAATATTTTTATGTCATCCATATCGAAATTTGAGGACTGTTGTTGTTCAAAAAAGGTCACCCAAGTTTTCAATGCACTATATGCTTCTTGAATAGACACTTCGGATGGCTCTTCGTCTGAATCGTCTGAATCACTCTCAATGTCATCACGTTCTTCATTTTGAATAAGAGTAACTATTTGTTGATCTGTTAATGCTTCTTCAGTTGCAATAGATTGGTCAATATCATTAAAATAATCCACTATTGCAGAATTAAGAGTAGCGGCATAATTATCCTCTACAGGTAATTCATTTAGAAGTTCATCAAGCTCGTCATTATCAAGTAAACTTGCTTCATTCTGAAGGTCTGTAGCACTGATAATTTCATCATCGTTAATAGCAGGAAGGATCCCAGTTCTTTTCCAGCAGTTAATAATTACATTTTCATCAACTGCATTCCACGCCTCCGCAAGAAAATCAATAGCTTGTTTAATATTTAGCTTGTTTCTTTTTTTTAAAAAAAAAAAAAAAATTAGTAGTGCTCTGAATAGTTTTATAGTTTTAGCCAAGATGCTAATTTAAAATCTGCAAATATATATAATAATTTATTTAATAATATAAGTTTCAAATTATAAAAAATAATCATTTAAATAATTAACTCACTTGTTCAATATTAACTAAAATAACAAAAATAAATAGAATTAAATTAGAGACACTGGCATCTGATAACTATCCACAAACATATGTTCTCTTACCAGAATTTTTTTTTAAAAAAGTTCAAGAAAAATTTAGGACCAACAAGATAAGTGCCTTGTGCCCATCCTTGTTAACTCTAATTCCGGTTTGATAATAATAGCCAGGACTGCTGCGATCATTTTCCATCTCTGCTAATTTTAATGTTCATTTTTTCAACCGCTATTATGTCTAGTAACAATGTATAGGGCCAGAAGTGTGGTAATATTTCTGAATTCATAGATTATAATTGTAAGTAGATAATTCTATTTTTAACATTATATTGTATTAGCATTTTCTTATCAGTATAATGAATAAGTGCTTTATATTCACCTTTTTTTAAATCCAATTCCATTTCAATACAATATCCAAAGATGTTATTCTATTATTTCTATTATTTCTATTTGCTGATTTTTGATAATTACAGAATTAACGAAGCTTTATATTTATCCTTTCGGTCCCTATTTCATTTTCTAATAAACCGGTTTTAGGAAAATAAAATGCATCATAATTATTTTAGATTAGTATATATCGATGTTGAGATGCAGATGTAAATTTGTAACTTGTTGTACGTAACTATAATAAGTTATACCTGCACTTCTAATATCGATGTACAAGCCATAATAATATAAATTGCAAAAATAACTTACTTCGTTAATAAAATCAAATAGATTCTTCTAATTATTACTTTAAGCAATTGTGTAGCCCTCAAGATGTAGTATATTTATTAAATTATTCGCATACTATCATAGAATTGTTATAGTGTGTCTAATACAGTAGTATTAATTACTTGATTGCATAGATTATGATGTGTTCAAAACCTGATATTTTTCAATATTAGTCCTTAATTCACAAGCCGCTACGTATAACAATCTTATAGAGGATTAGTAAAATAAAACTAACATTTTGAATAAAATGCTATTTTAGACAGACATGAATGAAATTGTCATATTTTGTATTTTTTATTGGTAAATTTATTTTAACTAATAGAATTAATTAATCTATGGCTTAATCCAACTATTCGGAGCACCATATATATATATATGTTAGTTAAAACATATTAAAAAAAAAGGTACTTACTTATTAATATCTTCTCCAGTCTCATATAACATTAAGATATGGCGACAATAAAGAGCTTTGTATTTGCTTTTGAAACTCTTTATAATACCTGCATCCATCGGTTGCAAGTGAGCTGTTGTATTTGAAGGCAAAAATTCGATTCTAATACTGAATTAATTTTATCCTGATTATGCTGACGACACTTTCCACGTTTTTTTTGTTTTTTATTTGATACACGTTTTTTATGAGATGCCTCAGAAGATAAACCAACAGTATTTGATTCAATTTCTTCCTCATAATCAGAACTAAATTGGTCTTGGTTAGTATACTCTTCTTCATTTGGATCAAAATGTGAGGCTGCATTATCAATTAGTAAGAGAATTTTTTTATTATTAATTCGAAAATAATAATCTAATTGCTGGAGCCATTCTTTAAATATGTAACTACGCATCCACGCCTTCTCATTTGCCCGATACTCAACAGGAAGAGAATTTAAGTTTATACGTTTAAAGCATCGTGGTCGTGGAGATTTACCAATTACCAATGGTCGAAGCTGATGTGTTCCTGTAGCATTAGTTCCAAGCAAAACTGTAATTCTTGCTTTATCCTAAAGAAAATAAATTTATAATTAATTAAGGCTTTTTAGTTAAAAAAAATTTTCATATATTATACATACTTTTTTCTGACCATGAATTAGAACTGATGACAAGGTTTGATTTGGTTGCATACGATAAAATAGAGCAGTTTCATTAGCGTTATAAATTTGGTCAAGTGTATATTGGCTAAGAAGATTTTGTAATTTTTGTCTTTCTTCAGGTAATGTATCTAAAGGTGCGCTTCCAGCCTCTCCATGTAAACGATAAACACGAAGGTTATTACGACGTTTGAATTTTTCAATCTAACCATTGGATAATTTTAAATTAGACTCTTCTATGTTAAAAGCTTGCATAAAAAATTTTGCCTTTTCTTTGACTAACATTTCACTAATTGGAACTTGTGCTATAATGGTACTTTCTACCCACAAACCCATGGCTTTTTCAAATGATGGAAATTTTGGTAAGCGGTGACGAAACTTATTTTTTGCTACTTCACTAGGAACTACCGCTAACCATTTATCTTTCTCATTAATAATCTTAGAGATAGTTGTACGATGGATATTTAATTGGAAGTTTTGATTGAAATATTCTGTTATTTGTACATGGTTATAGTGTGAATTTTTAACTGCAAATTCACAAATTTGCTGTTTAAATTCATCACTAATAGCCGTTCATACTTGTTTGGATTTAGTTGACATGTTTTTTAAATAAAATATATATTACAGATAAAAAATCAAAGATTTATAGCCAATAAAAGGCTGAAAACTTAAGGCAAAAAGAAAGTAACTATCAGAGAAGTCAGAGAAGTATGAAGAGAAATATAAATTATCTGAATCCAATTTATGCTTCTTTTATAAAATTTATAAACTTTCTATCTTATTCTACCTTTATTCTATAAATTTCCAAAAAGAACTAAATAATTAGTGTCAGAGGCTTTGAGATAGGAGTATTCATCTATTGTTATGCGTAATTCTTTTTTTTTTTATTTGATTAATTTTACAGTATATACTAACTAGTATTTTTCGCATGAAATCAAAGTTTATTTTGAATTCTCACTTTTCTGCATAGCTTTACCTGTTTTGGTATTATTATTTTCATTGTGTTTAGAATTTACATAATTTCCATTACTTGACTTTTTAGGTTAATATTTCCAGATCATAGTTGTTATCAAGTATCTCTCTTGACATAATTGGATAGTGATTAATATAACACCCAAACTCTACAATCATTTTTCAATCAATTACCATTGTAGCTTAAAAAAAAAAATTACCATTACCGTTACCCAATTATCTAAAATTTTTAGTACCCATCTGAAATTTTGATTAATAGAAAGCCTGTTGACAAGCGACTATGATTGTGAGATCAGATTACTTTATAGCGATGGTACATTACAGATCTAAATTTGTTATACAAGTTTTATAGTTACGAAAAGTATTGCATTTACATGACACATTGCATTTGAATTGTGCCAGCCGATGACTGGAGGTGATTTTTTTATTGAAAGTTGTTAAAAACATGATTGAGAAGCAAAGCAATGGCCAAGATGGCCAGAACGGCAATAACATCCTGTGAAAAAGCAATCGTGATTGCACTGAGAGTCGCTGTGGAAGCAGCCGGAGGTTTCCTGCCTGCCGCAGAAAGCCGGCTATGAGCGAAGTAAATAATGGAATCACGTTTCTACTGTCTTGGAGTGGGCTGGGTAGGTTGCGTGAATCGAGTTCAGGCCTGTCATTTCTGTTCGTTACCTTTAGCCTTTATATTTTATCTTTCCCATTGTTGAACACGTTTTGCCAAACCTATTGTGCCAGGCATGTGTTAAGGCTGTGATTGCATTTGATATTTCCACGTTGTTGATTTTCACATGCCTGGTCATGCCGTACGTACATATGAACTTATGAAGTAGCAGAGGCTAAGGTGTCGTGTGGCTGCTTCTCTTTTCGATCATGTGATTCCCATCACTTCGCATTTGTTGCACTGTAATTGTTTTATCATGATATCTTGTTATGTGCAGGTATAATGGCATATTATTATTTTAAATTCAATTGCTATACTTGCAAATTGGTAATAGAGAGTAAAGAATAGCATTTACACAAAGATAGTTTAGTAGTGCATGAGTAAAATTTTTATTAATTATATAGGTATTTGGGCAAATTTGACAATAGTAGTTTGATTGGTTAATCGGTTTAATAATTTTGAAAGAGATTATAAAAAGGTAAATTTATTATATATATTTATAATTTGGTTACAAAAAAAAATGTGATAGTGATTATATATGTATTGTTCTTATAAAGAGGGATTTTATATTTTAAAAAGTCGGGGCACAAATTAGTGTGATTCTATAGAGGGTGTGATTATAAAGGAGGCGATTATAAAGAGGGAAGACTGTACATATTAATTAACTTCATTAACTCATACAAATTACAAGTTACTTTTCACAAAGTTAATGCATACCAAGATGATGAATTTAACAACCTTGCTAATCAACTTGCTCAAAGTTATTCTACTGCACTATTCTTAGAATTTAATTTTCAAAATATATACAACCCAAAGTATACTTTTCAATTTGATGATTTTCTAATTGAATTGCCTATTAGGCGATATATTCGTATAATCTGTTATGCACAGATTTATGCTCTCTGGTCTTCACAAAATCATTTTCAATAATGGACTCCCATCACGCCATATATTAATTGAAATGCTACTTGGTTATTTATTAATAATAACCAAAAAATAACAAACTATTCACATAGCTTTCAATCAGCTACTCTTAAATCTTTTAGAATTAAAATTTTACTTGATGAGCTACCTACTCCACATGTTCTTCATAAGCGTTATCCATCTTATCCACAAACTGCCATAAATGCAACCAAATTAGTACAGTACTCCACTGGCTAATTTGTCCAAATTCTCAGTATCTAGAGGATCTTATTTACAAATCACTTTAGCATATTCTTAAACCTTCTACTCTTGATATATCAGCAGAGTCTACAATGAATCTATATTCTCAAATTAAAAATCTTAACAGTATGCGAATACACAATAACTCTAATATACCATCCTTGTTTTCAACAATAACTGGTTTTATCCCTTAAGACCTTATAGACTTAATTAAGGATATTACTTCATCAAAAAAAACCTCAACTAAACTTGCAGTTCAACTTCTACTACATTTAAATCAACAAATTTACAAAGACTGTTGGATACCATATTGTGT